CGAGAAGTCTCAAAACAGATCTTTTCGAGGGATTTGGATTGCAGGTATGCGACGGCGATGGATGTGGATTGCGACGGAGAGAGGATGCTGGGAGCTGCGATGGAAGGGGGCTTGCGACGGCGGGGCGCTGCAAAGGGGGGGATTTCGATTGCGGGGGTTGCGGAAGCGTCGATGGCGGCGGTCAGAAGCGTCGCCGGCGGCGGTGTGGAAGCGTTGCCGGCGGCGTTGCAGAAGTTTTGGTGTTGGACGGGGTAGATGGCGTTGCCAGTGGGGGAACATGGTAGAGAGGATGAGGGGTATAATGGGAAAGTCAAAGCAATTTTCATTTCACATAAATTTGCGCACCAAGTCAAAGCGAGAAGTTCTTTTTTGGACGGAGGGAGTACAATTTAATTCTTTAGAACTTACCGTGAAAATTAGCATTCCAATCTTTAGGTTTAAAAATATTACGGAGTAATTTCTTTAGGTTTAAAAATATTACGGAGTAATTAATAATGATATTATTCATAGTCACTTCTTAAAACAGTTCTTTCTAATAAGATGTTTCTCTAAATTAGTTTTGGCGGATCCGTTTCTCTAGCAGCCACCCATTTAATTCGAAAGGATCATTTTGAAGACCTATTCATAGTTTAGATGATAGAAAATACCAAAATATCCTTCATTTAACTCTAACTCAATTACAAAGGACTACGTTGATAATTATTAGTTATTGAGGATTAATTTGGAAAAATAACTAATTAGAAAAGAGGTTTTGGAAATTTACTCTCTTATTTATACACTTCTTTTTACTATGGTCATGCCAGTGAGGTGTGTTCTATTCAATTTTGATGTATGTGAGCTACGTACAACACTCCTTAATTGATAAAACGCTGATTAAAAAACAATCTTTTTTTCAAATAGAAATTCAATAAAAAAAACTTTAAGAATAATGTGAAAGTATTCTGGATCAATAATGATTAATAAGAATATTTAATATGTTTAATAATCGTTATAGATCCAGAATGCTTTCACATTATTATAAAAATTTATTTACACAAAGAAGATTAACATAGCTTTGAGCTCCATATCATTATATTATTTGTATTTCTTCATCCCATTTTCTCCGGTGCGGGAATTGGGGATTTTTTCCTTAAGGCCCCGTTTGGTACATGGAATTCAAATTATGGAGTTGGAATTGAGGACTTCAATTCCAATTCTGGTATTTGGTATCTCGAATATTATGTGGATTTGGAATTGATAGTGCAAAATATGAATTGGAATTGGTGAATTCAATTCCATGGAATTGAATCCCATGGAATTTTAATTCCAATTCAATTCCAATTCCATCAATTCCGTGTACCAAACGGACCCTAAAAGAAAACCGCTTCCAAACCCTCTTCTCAATTTCTTCATCGGTTTCTTCACTTCAATGGAATGCAATGAATAAATTTTATGTTTAGGTGGTGCAACTCTAATTAGTGGTCAAGCAACCGTATTATGATCTTGAAGTTCGATAGTCACTTTAAACAAGTCTCCAATCCTTGGTATTATGAATATGTGATTTCTTTATTTCCTTTTATTTGCTAATGAGAATAATTTTTATTTCCTCGCCAAAATGGGAAGAATTTTAATTTCATTTCTCTTAGTTGATTTTGCCTTCTCAATTTGTGTTCCTTCCATCACTTTTTAATTTTATATTTGTTAGTTATTTGAAATATATAATTTTTATATTTTTTTATTTTACACCTACAATCAAATAAATTGAATTGAAAATAATATTTGTCAAAGATCATAAACCGAACTAGGAAAAAAAATTTAAGACAGAAGAAGTTTAATATTTTCTTTCCATGATCTCTGACGGACTCAAAAATTTACCGTTTTTTAGCTTTAGGCCGGGTGTGATGGAATAAAACAAAATGGATCTCTGAACTGTGTGCGCTTCATTAACTAATGAAGTACTCCCTCCGTCCCAAAAAGATTTACATCTTTCAAAAAAATTGTGTCCCACAATCTCCTACCCATTTCTATTAAAAACCCACTTTTACCCCTTACTTTTTCAAACCCTACCTATCACATCATACCTTTTTCCTAATAATATACACATCACATCCTACTTTTACCCATCACATCAAGGGTATTTTTGGAAAGTCAACACAAAATTATTCCTCTCTTAATTTCTACTTTAGTCAAAATGGGTAACACTTTATGGGACGGAGGGAGTATGATTTAACCAATAAATGCAACTTTTAACACTGAACCATGGGTCTTTTTGGAAATAGTCCGGAATTCAATTGAGTTGTTGTTGTTGATTATTATTAAATTTTCTTAAAGGAAAATAAGAATATGAAAAATGTCTATACACAGCAATCAATTACTCTGATTATGAAAAAACAGGGTTAACAAAAAATTAAATATGAAAAGAAATTTCTTCCGGAGAAGCTATGTATACAGGAGTTATAAGAATTAATAAAGAAATATTTATTTCTTATTAAATATAATCCCTGCATACATAGCTCCTGTCGCAGAAATCTATTCATACAAGCTTGACGGTTGGTTCGATCTCAATTCTTTTAATCCGGTTTCGTATTCTGACTTTTTCTGGTGTGGGAAATGTTTATGTTTTCTTTTTTTTAAAAAAAAACCTTCTTCGGTTGGTCACTTCACTTCAATGCACTTAAAGATTGTGATCTCTCTAGCAATTTTGGGTACTATACTTAGATTTCATGATCTTAGAGAGCTCCACTCTTTAGTGGCAATTTCTTTATATTCTCGTAAGGGAAATGCTTGGTTCACAAACACAATCATCACAAA